TCCGCGGCGCAGATTATAACTCGAAAAGTACCTGGAAAGGTTTGCTTCAGGTCCTTTGATTTGAAGTATGCGTTCAGTCAGTTGCCGTTGTCATCGCTTACTAGAAGTCATTGTAACTTTAATATTTTGTGTGGAGAGGCTACAGGAACGTACCGATTCAAAACCGGTTTTTATGGTTTAACTGATATGCCTACCGAGTTCCAGAAGGCAATAGACTGCACCTTACAGTGACTAGAAGGTGTCATTTGTTATCTCGATGACATTTTGATAGTTACAAAAGGAGATGCCCAGAAATATAACGAACTGGTCGAAAAGGTGATGCAAAGACTCGATGTGGAAGGGTATGACCTTAATGAAGACGATAACTCTCCTAAGTTTTCAAAGATTGAGGCAATTCAATCACTCAAAGCTCCGCGAACTCTCAAACAACTACGCTCGTTTATGGGGACATTAAATCATTTTAAAAAGTTTATACCCGATTTACATACCCATACTGTTCATTTTAAAGGCCTGTAACAAACAGTCGTTCATGTGGGGAGAGGAGCAGAATAATTCCTTTAAAGGCATATTCAATATGGTCGCCAAAATCTCTAGTCTTTATCATTTTGATTCGTCGAAAAACTCAAGAGTAATATGTGACGCTAATCAAATCGGATTAGGAGCTTGCCTTGAGCAAGAAATCGAACCGCGAGTTTGGGCCCCAACCGCTTTTGCTTCGCGTTTTCCCAATAATGCGGAGGCAAATATAGTACCAATGAATTGGAGTTGTTGGCAATTGTTTTGGCCTGCGAACCTTTTCGTACCCATCTGCTGGGTACTCGTTTTCAAGTGTTGACTGATCATAAAGCTATCATTTCGGCATTATATGCAAATTATTTTAATAAGTCGTATCAGTCTCGTCTTGCCCGATGGGCAGATCGCTTTTTACCGTTTGATTTCGAGGTTATTTATGTTCCCGAGGTCACGTTGGGGATAGTCGATTACTTATCTCGTTATCCTACGTTTCCAGCTCCTGAGCCTTCTAGATACAATGAACTATTCGTTGTTAATTCTATTGAGGCTTTTCATCAGGCCCTCACGTTTTTTAACTCTTATAATTCATCAAACTGGACCAGAGAACGAGCTACCAAAACCCGTTTTTTTGCTGCACGAAACACGACCCGGAAGGATGGCCATTTCCAGCTGTTGGAGGCGATGCGACGGTGTCGCCTATCGAAACCTGGAAAGATCAACACTGCCTCAAGAATTGGGGTTCTTGCTGTCAATGGAGGCAAACTTCTTCTTCCATCTTCAAAGAAAGAATTTATGGAGCTACCTGGACTTTTTTAGCAGAGTTGACGGAGGAGGACCATTTTGTCGACCCTATGAAACGAGATATCATCAACAAGTACATCACATTATTCAATAAGCTCGGATCTTATATGGCCCAATTCTGGCCCAAAGCAGCTGTGGTTAATAACTGTGCAGTTATTGATAATAAACTTGCCACACCCGAACCTCTCCGACAAGCTGTACTTTCTCGCCTTCACCGCTCCCACCCGGGACAAGAGGCTATGATGTCGGCCTCTGAATATCTCTGGTGACCATTTCTGAAACCACAAATTATCGAGACATGTGAGAAATGCCATGAAGGCAAATTGTTTGGTAAGAATCTTATACCCGCAAAAACCATTAATTTTGCACAATCTTTACCTAGTCTGTCTGGGCCAAATCAGGAGTTACAACTCGATTTTAATGGTCCTATACTTGATGATAAGGGTTCTAAGGTCTTCCTTTTGGTAGCAATCGATCGTTTCTCTAAGTTTCCTCCAGTTTTTATTTCTAAAACTACTTGGGCTAAAAAGGTTACTAAATTTCTTGCATCTTACATTCGTATTCATCGTTTACCTCATTCTATCAGAACGGATCACGGTTCAGGTTTCAATGGAAACCCAGTGCAGGAATTTCGCTCTAGTAGAGGTATTAAACACATCCTCTCACCAGTTGGAGACCATAGAGGCAGTGGTTTCGCTGAACGATCGATTCAGACTATAAGGCGAAAACTGGGTGCTACAAACCTCGATCCTAATTTCAAAAAGTTTTAGAAACGCTCCAACAAATAATTGAAGATAGTCGCAAGAGTAATCACTCGGTGCGTAAGAAATCGCCTTTTGAAATACATTTCGGTCGTAAACCTAATACTGAGTGGTCCCAAGCGTTCATTAATGTTGTTCAACCTGATACCCCAGCCCAGGGACTGGAGCGGAACCTCTTAACACCGGACCAGATTGCCAGCCAGGATTATAGCCGGGACCGTGCGAAAGTTGTTTCTCGGGGCAGTACCAGTCCTACGGTTGGTCCCCGCTTCAAACCCTTGTTTTCGCTGGATGGAAATGTAGCGGACAGTGAAACCTACAAGGCTCTGGCCAAACTTGCTCGGGCGGCCAATAAGTGGTCGCAATTTAAGGTCCTCAAGGAACTGGCAACCCGTCATTTGGACCTCGCTCATTCTCTCAAGTCGGGCCTTAACCATAACACCCTTCGCTTTCCGAAGACAGGAATGAATGTGACGCCTCCGGGGGCACAAGTTAGTCCCCGAAGTTTACCAGCTCTGCAACCTCGTCGATCGTCAAAAACAACTAAACCAGAAAATCTTCCACTGACTGATCCTAACCGAGTTAAAGTCTTTAGGAAAATTATAGATCGCCAATCGGAAAAACCTCTCTTTAAATCTGCTAAACTCAAGGTTGTCCATATTACCGATCATACTTATGTTACACACAATGGGAAAGTTTATCGGAAAAATCATAATTGCCTCAAATTTAATTCTCGGTAAAACATTTCAGTTGGTCAGAACACTCTAGGTGATCGTCTTCAAGCCTCGAATCCTACCTCTCATGGTGCAGTTAAGAGGCCAGCTACGCGTTCTCAGCCTGTAATGCTGGAACAACGACCGGACAATCCAAATTTATCTGCCCCGATGTTGGATCTTACCGTGGACTCATCAAGTGAGAGTTCGACTGGGTCAAATGGCGGCCTACAGGTGGTGCAGGACTGTACTCCCGTAGAGAAGCGACAAAGCTATCAGCACAACTCACCTCCGGTCAAGTTTGCTCATCAGCCTAAGTCAACCTCTCAGCATCAAACTTTGACAAGTGCTACCCTCTCGCCGCCTACTATCTCTACCGCTTAGCTTCCTGGCTCATCAACTTCGATTCATACGCCGACCACGCATTGTGCCACCTCTTCGCCTACTGCCGATTCTTTCGACAGATTTCCTGGCCTCAGCCCTATCAATCCGGGAATTACTATTTCTTCGCCGGAAATTTTGTCCTCACAGGGCCCTGTTCATCCCTCTCATTCAGCGTCCTCAGAGCCGCACTCCTCTTATCCGTTGCTATCTCTACCCGCTCAACCAGTGGTTGACGATTCAGAGACAGCCAGGACTTCACTTCGCAGTAAGAAACCAACTAAGTTCTTTGGCGAACCATTACGTCCTTCCGTCAAATCGGTCGATGAGGATCAAGCTTTGCCCTCTGAAAAGGTGCTCGAATCTTCGTCCTCGCCACGGAAACCTCTCATCCGAGATCGGTTTCATACGAGATCTACGGTGTTGTCCTCTCACTATCTCGCTCAGGCCAATGAAACTCCCGAAAAGGATTGACTCTATTATAAGTATCAAACTCTGCTAAACTCACAAAAACTTTTTCTCAGATATATCTTGTTTCTTTTGTTCTGCTGTAAAGCTTAAAGCGTTTGTGTGGGATAAGGGGGCTATCAATCTTATGTTCGTCTGGGTGCAGTTGTATTATTTTCTAAATTTTGGGCTGTTCACCAAAATTTTTTCTCCCGCGGGGAATGTCGTGAGGCGACCTTCGATACTTCGTTATTTAACTTGTCCTTTTGCAGCCTCGCTGCAGATTTTTGTTAATTTCATTAACCAAGGTCATAGTTCTAACCTACACAAATTACCACGCTGTGCGTGCTCACTCTTTGCTATCTAGATCGTTTGTTAGATTTCCTTATTCTCTCTAATCCTCCATGCTATTCAGGATAAAATTCTAAACTCAAGAATAAATTGAAACTAAGCAATTATATTGATTCAAGTAACTAATTATTCTATTCTACAAAACAATTTACTTATTGTTGATCAACCATGTTTTCACTCTAAAAACTCGGCAAATGTCAACGACAAAGTTGCAGAATTTTTGTTCTTTTTGTCATATGAATGCGGCTTAAAAATTTCATGCAATCAGTTATTCTATTTCACAATTTTTGTTCGCGCAGCGTAAGTACTATGCAGAAAGCCGATAACTAGAGTAGCGAAAAACTGGTTTAATTTGAGTAGAGGCCACAAAAATGATCTGAATATTTCCAAACTAGAGGCAGCAAATATACTTAAAATCAAGAGCAACTTAAAATCAAGAGCAGCATTTAGCCCAGAAAATTTCCACAACAAGCACCATTGGAAACAAAATTTTGTGAATTAAAACGATAATTTTATGGTTTCGTTTCATTCTTTTTGTGAGGGGAAGGGAGCAAATTAGGGTAATTATCTAGCAATAGCTCAAATGACGTATGAATTGTTTGTTGTGCGTAAAGTGATTTTGGACACAGAATATATAATCGTCCGTCTGAATGACCTTTTCAGTGTAACAGCAGTAAATATTCATGCTGACTTTTATCGAAATAAAAAAAAAGTTTAAAAAGTTCTTTTTATTTCAACCGAATCGAACGGTTTGGACTTGAAAAAGGCTATATCCTACAACTTCCTAGAGCGTGTCTTTGTGGTACCTGGATTTGTGTGGTAAAATACACCTGAAATCTTAGTTCCTCGCCGTTTTCCTTGTAGGAAGAACGCCTTCAACGCGTGACCGGAACGCTCGGACGACCTAACACTGATATTAGCTAGAGGTCAAAGTTTTCGAAAATCAAATCTTTCTAGTACAGTAATGGGATAAATTCGGTGGAACCCGCAAAAGCACGAATAAAGTTAAATACGGACTTATCATAAAAACAAGTTTCGATTTAAACTAAATTTGATACATTAAGTGCAAATGTTGAACTTTTTAAGACTTTGATCCAAAACTAACAATTTAGTATTTTTAAAGCCCTGGTGAACAAACGAATCTAGAAATATTTCATGACTGTTGTTGCGGAGTAAAATTACTGATCTGACCATTTAAATCTTTTTTGGCTAGATTGAACAAATAGGGCGCGTCTGAGGGAGGAGTTTTCAGTCTCAAGGGGGGTGGAGGAGGTATTTGAACATAGGGATCTTCTGATTCGAGACTCCCGACCGATTCCGTCCGTGTGATTTTCATACCTTTCATCGCCTCATTGAAAGAAGCCGAGTTTAGGTTCATTTTTTCCGGGGGTTTGAATCCCCCATTTTTCTGTTCCATTTCGGGGACGTTTCTCGAGGCAGTGAATTTTAGAGGGGTGCTTTGGTTGTTACGCAAAGATGGTAGCGAAGGTGGTATGAAGGAATCTTGTCGATGAGTGAACAAAGTATTGTTATCCCTGTTTGGGGGTACCCCGTGATGCTGTGAGAGTCTCTGTCCCGGACCCTGAGTTACAAGATATGGTTGCTTCGTAACCGGGTCGATCGACAAGTGAACCCCTCCTTGATGAGGAATTTTTGGTGCACCTGTTCGCTTCAAAGAATGACCTGGGTAAACTGATATTTTTGAGAAAATATCAGGAGAGTTCCGCATATCTTCAGTTGATTGTACAGATAGATGCAGTGGCTGAAATTTGTTCACACATGATGGCGAAATACCTGATGATTGCCTTGACGTAGCTTGTGGTGGTGATATATGGATTTGGTCATTGCTAGTGAGCGTTTCAGTACTTCCATTTATGGTATCCGGTGAGTTATTGTTGTCTTCTTCCATGGTATAATTTCCCGAATCATCTTCTACGTCAAATCTGTCATTTCGTTTCGCAGAAATGCCTTTAGACAAGTTATTTGACTCGGTTATGGGTTCAAATTGAGATTGAATTTCATTGACTGGAGAATCGAAACTGTCGTAAGAAGGACTTTCAAGGTCAATGCTGGCGTACTGGTTGCTCGGTGACAGCGAGTCCAAAAACATATCAGTACTCATGCTCATAAAATCACTGTTGAAATCTGGTTCTTTTCTAAGTGAAGAAAATACCATTTTTAAATAAATCAGAATTCGTTTTTGATGTCCTTGCTTGTCTATTCCGATTTCCATTAAATCTTCCATAGTTGCTTTTGAAAGTTCTTCAAGGGAGATAAATTCAGATTTCACAAATAAATCTGTATATTGGGACAAATTTATCCCCTCCAAAAATTGTGAAACCGTTTCCGGAGCTTCATGGAACTGTCGCGGTGCCGGAATGTGGTTCCCGAAGACTTGAAAAATCTCGACAATCCTGCGACGTTGGTTTGGATTCGTAACCCCAACTGCAGCTAAGTCGGCGCTCGACATTCGCACCGCTGTATAACTGTCGTAACCACATTCGATGAAGACCCTAGGAAACTTTTTCAAATCAGCCTCCTGAAATAGTCGCTCCAAAGCTTCAATTTCATTGGCCTTCGAAAAAGCAGAATGATGTGACAGTGAGTATAATATTTTGTTGGCTTCTTCATTTAATATTTCGCAACTATCGGACGCTTTGTCGTAATGCGACACATCGCCATTGGAAAACTCAGCATGCTGCTGGTTTTGATCAAATTTTGACGATTGTGAGTTTGCTGTTTTCATTGGCATTTTGAACCGCTCAAAATCAAGACTGCTCGGGACATTTGGAAATTTTTTAGAACTTCCAAAGCTTTCGTGCATCCAATCAGAGCTTATTCTTTTTTGCTCTTCGAGCGAACTTACGTCAACTGTTATATAATTGGTTCCCATAAGACTTTGCGGGTTCGAATGTCTTTCAGGCTGAACTCTCTTTGTTGATTCTGAAATGGAGGGTTTTCGTTTTGGGTTCCCAAGAGACCTTGGCATTATTTCCACACACTCTTTTGGAAAATAGCCGCTTCTCTTGTTGATGACACCCTTCCAAATACCAGAAGGGTTTTGCTCCAATATTGTGACAATATCCCCAACGCTCAAAATTAAGTGACTGGAGTTTGGAATTATGTCGTGTTTTTTTATCACGCGAGCTTTCAGAGATGTCATGCATTCGTGGAGGTATTGTTTCACATCTGCGCATCCGCCATGGCTAACATATTTGTTCAATTTATCCAGTGGCGTTTCCCCCTTTTGATTCGTCTTGAAAACATCAGCACCGTTTTGAACCAAAAGTTGAACAATTTTCAACTTCCCGCTTAATGCTGCATCGTGTAGCGCAGTTCCCGAGGAGTTTTCTTGGTTGATATCACATCCGAACTGAATCAAAGTTTGTATGCAGTCAGCGTGGCCATTTAGAATTGCGAGTTGTAATGGCGAGAGGTTTGCGAATTCGTCGTTTGCCGAACTTCTTTTTCTCGTAATCGAGCCTGAACGAGAAATCTCGTCTTCGCCGAACCGCTTCTGGCGACCGTTGAGAATATTTTTCGACTCTGGATTTTGCAGACAAATTTTAAGTACCTGATCTTTCCCGGATTCCGCAGCTGTTTCTATCGCTGTTTTCCCAGACTTGTCTCGGATTAATAATTGGGCGCCACATTTGAGCAGAGCAGTACACACATGCGCATGGCCGTCTCTTGATGCAATGTGTAAGGAAGTTTGACCCTCTTCATCTTGAGCGTTTATGTTAGCCCCATACTTCGCTAGAAGATATATTGAGGCGTCTATCCCACTGTAAGCAGCGTAATGAAGAGCGGTATGGCCTGTAACGTCGCTTAAGTTCAAGTCGAGGTTAAAGGTCAAAAGAAGTTTTAAAACTTCATATTGTCCTGTGAGTGCGGCTTTGTGAAGCGCCGTTAAGCCGTTTTCATCTCGATAATAAAGCTTACGGCTTTTTGCGATTCCATGATGGGATTTTGCCTGAAGTTTGCGAATGATTTTTTCAACGGCAGCCTGATTTTGGTAAGTCACAGCCGTGTATAAATCGCGAGGACTCATTTTCAAACATTATTTAAGTAAATTTTTGCAAGCCATTAAACTGATCATACATTCTTAAACTGTACAAAAATCAACCAAAACTTCGCTCTTTTAAATATATATGCATTACTCAAAAGCACAGATGAGATATTACGTGCGTAAAATTGCATTTAACACGTTTTTTTAGCTTGAAAATTCTTCACGTCATTATTGTGTACAGATAATTGATCTACAAATTTAGATTGAAAATCGAGCCAAATAAAGCTCAGATTTGGTAAGTTACCATTTATGAGATGAAAAAAGGCATAAGATGCAAGAATCGATTAAGAATTTCAGCACGAGATCAATATTGGTTAACTCATTTAAAGTTCTTCTGATTTAAATGCACTCGAATGTGGTTTGAGAGCACTCGAAATAATTGATATGCTTTTGAATATTAAACGAGAAAGAAAGAAAATAATGTTCAGAAGTCAGAACATGAGAGTTTAAAGTACCCCTGAAATAACATTAAACACCTCTAGTCGCAGAGGGTATGTATGCTAAGTATGTACATATAGTCTAAAATAACCATCGGGCGTTAGTTTAAACTAGTACTTCGATAGATAACTTATTTGATCGAAACTTGTTACAAATAACACCAGAATTGTGCGAAACGTAAAAACATTGGACATTTTGACCTTCTAAGGATCTGGGCTAACTAAGCGTGAAGAGAAATTGAAAATTGAGTTTAAATGGGCTCTATTCTATTCCAAACAAAGTTTTTGTTTTCGTGGTCAAATTAACGCCATGAAAATATCGCTTAATTCGATTTTAAGACTCCATAAGGTACTCAACTTACTTCAGGAAACTTGAGCACATTGAAAATATAACTAAAGTAAACAAAGTTGTAATAAATAAGCTCGCTCTGTGGATTTTTTTCTGGTTATTTAGTTTTCCTTTCGCTTCTGACTTATTTCCTGCCCTCGAGTCATTTATTCATTTACTCCATTCGAAAGTTTAGTTTCAATAACTAGTTCATTACCCTCATTACAGCTCTCAGCCAAGGTTGTTAAAAGCGAGCAGTTAAGAAAGAGGCAAAAATTGCTTTTTGGTTTATGGCAACATGTTTCGAAGTAAATGGTTAAAATGGTTAAAAGTAATCTTCAAATGGGTTTGAATCGGTGATTGTTTGGGGCTAAAATGGCGTCAAATGTGTGTGAAAATATACAATTTGGGCCCCACGTTTGTTGACTGCGGGGTCTGATCTCGAAAGAAAAGCGGGCTAAAGACTCAGCGTCGCGATCATAGCACGTTGTTTGACCGAGTTTAATGTTTGACATGAACAATATTAGATCTATTTCTGACTTCAGTTAAGATTATTCTTCGCATCTGGAACATGATTGATGTCGAAACTGGAAGTTAGCTTTTCGGGCATATTGCAAACTCTACTGGCGTCACACGTAGATCAAGTTGTTTTCAGCCCACATGGAAACACAGTACGAACCTCAGATCTCAAACAGCGTAACTAGCATTAACTCCAATCCATGCAAAACTAGCTTATAAAGCCTTTGCGCGCATAAAGAGAATTTATTTTTTAATTAAAAGTTTTGTTACTTTTTGCTTCTAAATCAAGTATTTCTTATTGTGCGTCATTGAAATCAAATAGAGGTTAATCGATTCCTTTTCCGAGAAATTTGCGACCAAAATCTGGCAAGATGGAACGAACATACCTTAAAATACATTTTCACAGATCTCTCATAAGTTCATGTGAAAATGTATTTTAAGGTAACAATGGAAAAACATAGGAATTGAATTTGAATTTTGTGACAACAGTAACTGATTGTTGTTAAAAAATCACCGAATTTTTTGAAATAGATGATCATAGCAAGAAAAACGTTAGAAAATTGTTTCGAAACTTTGCAAAAAAATTTATTGATGTTTTCTTTTCGAACTTTTCTAAAATTTCAATCATTTTCATGAGTCAACAAGAGTCAAGCTTTACAAAATAGCAAAATAGGTCGAAAAAACATAGCCAACAGACAGTTCGAAAAGCGTCAATGCTCTCAAGGAAGCAACTGTCGAAAAAAAAAGATATGATGCTTTAAAGCTCTTTAATTTTTCAAGAATTTGAGTTATGTACGAGGTTTTGTACTCATAGAGTAATTTCAGATAAGGTACACCGTCTGTTCGTCACGCTATCTTAATTTCGGCCGGATAGATTCGTGTAACTTCTTAGTCTAATACCAATCTTAATCTTAATCTTATATCTTCTAGTCTCAATAGATCTAGAGTACACTAGTAATTACGAGTTAGTTCTTGGAGTTTATCCAGAAGGAGAACGGCTGTAGTCTAAGATTTTTTCAAACTGTTCTTGTGCTAAAACTACAAGTAGTTTCAGCACTTACAAGTAGGTGTCAATGTTAGTGATGAATATGATTGGTTAGTTAGTAATATTTTATAGAGATTATTTTATCAATAAAATAATTGGTTTATAAATACTTGTTTAGAACTGTTTCCAAATATTCTTATTTTGAGAAACTGGATCTAATTTTTTGTTTTATTCTGATGGTAATTATGATTATTAAAACCATTTTTTGAAACAAAATCATCCAATTCTTCGCACTTTTGTTATTGGAGAGCGTAAAATGCTCCCTTCGCCAAATGAAACTGAATTTAACCTGAAGCAAAACTAAACCGCAAACAGGTAAAACTAGGCGTGCTTTAGACTTCGCTATAGCAAATTTAAACAGCCACACAACCTAAAAAACTTACATTTTTTTGATTATTCAAAAAAGTTTTGAACACCATTGCAAACCCAAATTACGACAGGAAACTTGACCAAATTATATTGGGCCAGTCAGAACTGCCAAAAAACTTAACGCTAACCTCCGGCCCAATTTTTTTGAAGGTGGTCGGAAGAACTTTTCTCAAAGAACAAATCGAAACTAAACAAGTTGTTGCCGCATAAATTGAACAAACAAAAATATAGATTTACATATATATAAATGTACGAAATGAGGCTTGAAATTTATAATAATTTTGATGCGGTGATCTGCTTTTTTACTTTAGATTTCTTCTCTCAGAAATATTAATCCGACCACCCTCAAACATAAATTGAGTCGGTAGTATAGCGTTAGTTTTTATGGACAGTTCTGAGTGCCCCAAAAATAAAAACAGACGATACACTTTGGAAGAGCAATTTTTTTTAGAAATAAACTTTTTTTTGCTAGGAACATCTGCAATTGGTAAACATCTACAATTTTTATAACGCGTAAACAGTTTTTAAAATTTTTTAAAAATCTCAGAAAATTAATAAGCAAAAAGAAAACAATCAGCCAAAGTTTTTTTATTAATCAAAATTGCGCTAAATTTGGAAACTGCGCAAAAACAAAAAAAAAGATTTTAATAAGAGGGGCCTCTATTTTCAATGAGAACGTTAGACATTTTATCACTGCTTAGAATCACAGTTGACTTTAGTTTAATCAAAATTTTACAACAACAGACAATTGAGAAATCAAGAAAACGTAGAAAAGTAAGTATTTTTGAAACAAGCAAAAAACGGACTTTATTTATTTTATAACTTTTTCTCCGCTTTTAAGGCTAATTGTACTCACAAAAAACACGAAGAAAAGTTGCACTTTTCAAAAATTGTGAAGAAGTGTTTTGAGCATGCAAGAAATACACAGAAGCAAAGCTGGGCTTCGCAAACACAAGCGAGGAAAAGGCAAAAAAAGATCTCTAAACAAGCAAAAGAAAGTGAAACAATGAAAAAGGTTGAAAAGACACCTTAAGAAATTTTTTTGCAAGGCTTAGGAGTAACACGTTCTTACATCTCGCTTGTGTTTGCTTTTCGTTTTACTAACACTAGCAACCAATAAAACAGCTGCAGTTTATATCAGATTATCAATGCGATGTAGGAAAAACTCGACCAAAAAAACTGTAACTATTTCAAAATTCCGGATTTGGATCTCCTACCGGTTGATTAGGATTTCCATATCCGCGCAATTGCGCCACGGACGCTTGGAAGTAAATATAGTTGCCCAGCTTGTGCTAGATTTACATGTTTTAATATTTTGATCATATTTCATACTGATACCGAAATGCGTAACTTTGAAAGTTTCAAAAAATGACCTAACGCAAAACCCTAGTAATTTTTCTGCTTAAATACAGTGCTGATTTAAATTAACCGGACAAAACGCGTTAAACTTGAAATTTAAAACGCGTTTTTCTCAAAATGGGTTGAGCTTAGGTGAAAGTTTATGAGGACAAAACTCGCTTAAAATTTTAGCAGAATTAATATGGTATAATTTGTTTTGCGAAATTCAGGCCCAAAATTTTACCGCAAAATGGGTCATTTTGGCTTTTCTGAGTTATTCAAAAATTACGCCGAAAATAACAAGTCGATCACAGACATAATTATGTCAAAGTGAGCCCCTCACGTAGCTCAACAAACTTTAAGAAGGCTATATTCTCCAAAAAAATTTGCAAATTGTTTAAAAATTGTTTTTAAATAAAAAGTTGGTATTTTATGTAACAAAAACGATCTTTTTTGTCTATCAAACAAAAATAAATTAACTTATACAATGTTTTGGAGAATATACCCTTCTTATAGTTTGTTGGGCTACGTAAGGGGCTCACTCTGACATAATTATGTCTGTGATCGACTTGTTATTTTTGGCGTAGTTTTTGAATAACTCAGAAAAGCTAAAATGACCCATTTTTGGGGTAAAATTTAGGGCCCGAATTTCGCAAAACAATTACACCATATTAATTCTGCTAAAATTTTAAGCAAGTTTTGTCCTCATAAGTTTTCGACTAAGCTCAATCCAATTTGAGAAAAAAAGGCGTTTTAAATTTCAGGTTAAACGCGTTTTGTCCGGTTAATTTAAATCAGCACTGTAGTGGATTAGCTGCATAATTACAGAAAAAAAACTACTATACGATTTTTCAACTGAATTCTTTATCTCAGATTTGGCTGGGTAAATTTCGGAAAAAAATTGAAAAAGATTCCAAAAACAACGATCAAAAATTGAAAAAGTTGGCTTTTCCTAAATTCACAAAACTTTCTCTTCTAAAGCATGGGAATAGTTTCGTATGCAGGGAAGATTTCCGCACCCTAATTTTTAGATTGAATCCTTAATATTGGCTTTAGCTAGTAGCTTTCAAGAACAGTGCTGAAATTTCTTTAAAAAAAACAGTAACAACTTAAAAAAAAAACATTTTTCCGGTGTCTATATCGGCCTTTCTACAAAAAAAATAAGGCAAAACAGATTACATACAAAAAATCTAAGCACGAAGCTTATTTGATTAAAATATCAAACTCAGAATTAACAGGGTAGTTTTTGAAGAAAAAAAGAAGTTTCCAAAAAACGGACAAAGTTTCAAAAACTGTACATTTTCTAGGGCCATTTTTTTCAAAACACAGCGCATAGCCGCTTGCGCAGGGAAAACTTGCATACTATGTTTTTTTGCTTCGGTTGAATTTTTATTCTCCGATTTGGCAAGGTAGTTTTTGAGAAACGTCGGAAAAATTTAAGAATTAACCAAAATGTCAAAAAATGGACTTGTTTGAGGCCTTAACTTTTTTCTGCCGAGTTTAGGGAAGAGCCGCTTTAGAAGGAGAGATCCCAATGTTTTGTTCTTTAGCTGAAGAGTTGATCTCAGATTTTTACCTTTATTATTTGAGAAAATGAACAAATGGAAAATCAAATAAATCAAAAATCCACCCACTGAAACTTTCGAATGCCTTAGAACGTGGTGTAAATTGAACCATACTTGTCAACGGGCCGGGCTGCCCGTGGGCCTCAACGGGCCGGGCCGGGCCGGGCCGGGCCGGGCCGAGGTTTTCACTTGTGTCAACGGGCCCCAACGGGTCTTACTTTTATTGACTAACCAATTTTATGTTTCAGTGCGCACTGTAGAGCTTGCAGTGTGCTAAACAACATGACTACTACGTTCACTGCCGATTCACTGCAGAAACAATTTCGACGTGACACGAAGCACGAAATCTTTGCATTTGGGGAAGAAGACTCTGTCGTTTTCATTCATGCCAAAAAGCCATGGCTTTTAAAAAAGGTCTTCATGAATAAGTAAAACAATTAATTAAAATTGTTTTGAAACAAATTCGTTTTTTACCAAAAAAGCAGCAACGGGCCCCAACGGGCCAATATTTAATAAATTCCCTGTTTATCGGGCCGCTAATGGGGTCGACTTTAATTATATCGGGCCGGACCGGGCCGGGCCTCAATTATGGCGGCCCGTTAACAAGTCTGAATTTAACATGCTATTAAAATACGCTTAAATATTATGAAATGGAAATATACCATTTGCGACTTAGGTTGGAAAAAAGAGAGCTCGTAAAAATACACTTCGCTTCGCTATAATTCAAAGAAAAAGCCGACTACAGGAAACGAACAATTAGCGTCTAGAATCATCCTAACTAATCAGCATGTAGTTTCAGGTAGTTAAACGAAAGCAAAGCTGCATTCCAAAGGAGTACGTAAAATGGCAAACAGGAACTTTAAATTGCCGGAACTACAAAAATAAGATGATGAATTTTGTGACGGCCAACTGGAAATTACGCTTTGAGTTAGTTAATTTTGAGATTCCGATGTCGCACCGAGTTTAAAAATTACTTGTCTTAAAACTGACTAAACCTCCTGGTAGTTCTTGAACAACGTCTAAAAAATTTAGGAGGCGAACTAATAAAGCGGAAAAACGCAAGATATTAAACTACTCGCTAAAGAAATTGAGCTCAAAAACTGAAAACCAATTGTTGCAAGATTGTTTCAAATATCTCAAATCTTTATCCATCTGTTTCTAACATATTTCCTTTTCAATATTTGTTAAAGAGATAAAAATCGATTCCTTTTCAGGAAGTTTGCGACTGAAACAATGAATTGCGACTGTAGTAAATTGCATATGACTCAACGCGACGGGCTTATTATCACTGAGCCGGATTAAGGGGGGGGGGGAAGGTTCGAACGTTTTTCCGTCAGGGATTCGACCCCCTGCTAACCCAAAGGGTCCACCTTTGCAATATTTTGAGATATATTCATTTTTGGCGATATATACTTAATTTGAAGGGGGAGCGCGCGCCGAAAAAACGCAATTTATTGGTCAAATTTTCCAAAAAAGCCCAAAAAACACCCGTTTTTTCAAAATTTTGCCTGCGGCGCAGAAAAAATGGCCCAAAATTGCTTCTTTGGTCGACCTAAAAAACCGAAGTCAAAATGTTCGAAATTTTTTTGAAAATCCGCCACTACCCCTCGAGAAAATCCCAGCTTCGCCCCTGGAATTAATTAAGCCAAGATTTGAAGGATTTCAGAGACTTCGCATGTAGGACTTCCGTTTAAACATACTTCAAGCAGAATATTTTCACTAGCTTCAGTAAAACTGAAACAAAGATGGTTCGCGAAATAATAAGGACGTGTCTGCTAGTTGCCCTCCGTGATGTATTTTTTATTTGCTGCCACTTTTTACAGCCATGTCTGCATTTTAAATAATTAAATCTTAACTGCTAGCAAAAAGAGCCATGTGATATTTAAAAAGCAATGAGTTTAATACTGAATTTATACCAATAATATAGCATAAGAAACATCATATATCGACTGAGTCAAACACAAAATGGGTAGGTAACCGCAACCACTGCTTTAGACACAACAACAACAATATCTATGAGTCAGTTTAAAGACTTATAGTGAAGAAAAATGCAAGCTTCTCATTTCATCATTCACGAGACGAGTCCATGTAATTAATTACTTAATTAACATTCAATTAGCAGCAAATATTCGGCGCGTTAAAAACTTCACCTCTTTGGTCTTTCCAATTTTCTTACGGGTAAAAGCAAAATAACGAGCGGTCAAAAAAATTAAGGCATTAATAAACTTCGGAATTGGATTTATATTTAATTTAAATAATGAAAGAGCACCCATATTTTACAAGAAATATACAAATGAAAACATATTTTCCCGAATAATCGATTCAATTCCTTCCATTAAGCCCTGCTATAAATCAAGCAGATTATAATTAAATATTTTTATATTACTGATCGAAAACGTCATTTTTGAACCTAAATGAGCATGAATTACGAGGCTAGCAAGTTTTATTTCTGCGGTACAAATGCAAACGCTTGTCATGAGTAAACATGACAATTCAAGTTCCATAATTTTTCATCACATCATATCGCTTTTTACTGAGCAAATTTTATTTTTAGTTGAACCACAGCAAACAAAGTACATCCAAATCATTTCATGTACAAGCCACATTACCGATGGTGATGCACAGTTGAATTAAGCTCCGGTTAGCTTTCATAGTCAACGTCAGCATTTTTGTAAAGATGTTCTTGTTCCATTTCATCTCTACTATCAGGATAGATGAACTTCACATGGTGCCATTTAAAAATGTTTCCTTGTTTAAAACTATTCGAGTATTTTCAAAATTGCTGATCGAATGAAAGAAAGTAAGTTCACAGAAATTCACATAAAGAATTCGCACTTGATATGAATGATGTTAGATGAATTAAGAGAGTACGACAACAGTTATCATTATCTACATATTACAGCAAGTACAGTTGGAGTTAGAGTTCTGCAGTTTTTCTTCTTTGAAAACCCATATCAGCTCCTCTTAATGTTTGATGTTCCGTTTCATTCCGTTGAACTTCCGATCAAGTGATGTAAAACAGCGGGTTGAATTTATTAAGCTGGTAGTGTCAATGTCTTGCCTTTTAGAACTGAAACAAATTATTTGTGCATGATTTAATTGGCGCTTACTCAATTTTCCACATAGTGCCAACAGTGGTGTGCGCAAAATTTTTTCCTAGGAGTGAGATAGTTTTTTCGGGAAAATATCTTCTGGCCAACTAATTTGATTTTTAGAACACCCCTAAAACCTTCTTTTGCTTTAAAAAACTGCGCCACAGACAAATATTTGAGACATCAGTCCAAAATGACGTTTTTGCACACTTTTTGAAAATTTTTAACCAAAAAATTGCTTTGCATCAAATGCAGTTTATATTGGCCTCAAAGACTTACGGGCCCATAGCTGACAAAGCTCCTGCAAAAACATAAGGTTTGCGTGGATAGCAACGACACCTTGTTGAAACCAAGCAGGTTCATCGCCTGCTATTCAACGCTTTTCTACGTCTGCCTAAAGTCGGATAGAATAATCTTTGCGAAGAAAAAGCACTTTGCGCTTTTGAAATCGTTAGGGACAGTGTTACACGCTGGCTTTTAATATTAGGCGCCCGTACGCAAAGGCTCGCCCAGAATACTCAAAAACATTGGGGAGAAAACTTTTTTCGCAACAACAGCTATTTTTATGGAACCTTTTGACGGATAGGAATGGCAATTATAGGGGTAGGTTATACCCAGGCAGTCTCTGAACTGTGTTTATCACAACAATCGAGATGAATTTTTACTTAGAAGTTAATCAAATCCCAATGTGTTATGGCAATTACAGTTCACGCGTAGGCCGAATTAGTTGATTAGGATCAAACGACACTGCCTGCAACAGTCACTTAGTAAGTAAACATAAAAAAATACTATTTGCTATTTATAAAAAAAAACGAAAAAAGTGCCTTTAAAGCTCTTTGCATTTCAAGAAAAACTAACAATTGGTGCTTTCAGCTGGGAAATCTGAACATTAAAATTCACTTTTGAAACCGAAATGTGGCCACATTTTTTGTGATCTTTTCAATTTTGCTGTTTGATAGTATAGTTTACCTCTTTTTTAACACAGGAAATGAACTGAACTTCTAAAGAAATCAAAATAAAATCCACGAAAATCAAATTTAAGAGTGCAGAAACTTAAAGATTTTTTTAAAGTCTTCACTACGTTCATCGGCTCTTTTCCAGTTCACCCCATTACTTCAATATTATTGTTCCGACTTTCGATACGAAAGTAACGGAATATTTGTGCTCGGGGTGGGTTTTTTTTTCTTCAGACAAATTTCGACTTTTTAACTAGCCATTTTTGACGGAATTGTTTTATATCATTCAAAAGGTATTAGTGTCCTGAGCTTAAATTTGAAAAGATATTTCACCTGTGATCATTTTTCGTAAAGTTATGAGGGTTTAAAGATTACCATTTTGACCAATTTGGGACAATTAATGCGCGATATAATTCGCGCTATTAACGCGTAAGCCGAGATTTAATACGTCTTATAAATCGTTCCAAATTGGTTGAACGAAGCTTACTTGCCATAATTGATTTGTTACTAGGAGCGAAATCTATTCTTTTGTACTTTATATGGCGTGTGGGGGGATGATTTTTATAAAAAAATTTCAAATTTTAGAAAAAAAAAAATTTCGTTTTATTTTATTTCATTGAATTTTTTTAATGTTTTTACTGCTGCTCCATAAACCTTAAAGGCAGTCGGAACATTCAGGGCTTCGCCCTGATACGAGCAGTCTTGTTTCATTTTCTCACAGATCTTACGTATTACTTTGGCTGAATGCGTGATGTTAGGATGAAAGGCATGCAGAACAAATGTTCACAATAGTAGGTTTGTTCATAATGCAAAAACTCATTACGTTTTGACAACGTAAAACTTTTTTTCAAAATTGAAATTCAAATGTAGGACGTGGGGAAAAGAGCCCGTTCATCCACTGAGGATTAAAGTATCTGATGACTAAAATATGATAAGCTGAATTCGTTCATTGACACCCAACTTTTCACCAAATCTAAATCATGATATATTTTGCATCAAAAAATCGTTAACCTGTGAGAAATAACATGTTGTGAGCTATGGGTAGTTACTATCCAGTCTTACTGTTTGGAAACTAACTCAATATTCATCGAAAGAAAATTCCGAACAGAAAAAATGAAAGTTCTATTAAATATGGGAATTATACTTTCTGTTCGGAATTGATTCCCATATTTCATAGAACTTTCATAGTGTTTGTAGTTGTATGGCAACGTTCCTAGGGGTTGAATTTAGTGATTAGCATTTTCGTCAACGTGGGATGCTTGCTCATCACAATCGCAACAATAAATTAGTAATAAATGCTTCTTAAAACAATAGAAAAATTACGCTAAGAGAGCGAGCCAGCAAATGGTTCTCAACAGTAAGGGAGACTGATTCAGTGACTTGAAAGAACAGTCGATTCTCCCGAGTGAAACAAGTCATAAGAAGTTAGTTGAGTCTCCGGAGAGAGAGCAAGTTAGTTAAGCTAACGTAGACAGCAGCGGTATCGCAAGTCATCAAGCAATTACAATATCAGTTTACAGGCAGAACCTAAGGAGTGACACAGAGGCGAAGCTGCACATCGCAAACACAAGCTAAAAAAACGCCAAGAAGCATCTTTAAAAAAGTCAAAAACGGTAATGATAAACAATGACCTCTACGGTTATTGAACCTCAGTCCTCGGATTTTCAAGTTTTTTCTTTGATTGCCCTACTGACGAATATAAAAGCTTAAATTGAGCAACAAAGGTAGCTTCAAAGTGCACAAACAAAATTTTTGCATGTAATATTTTGGAATGTAATAAACTAAAAGCGAACACACTAAATTTCATTGCAATAAAATGGAGTACAAAACCAAAGTTCTAAAAAGGAGCTTACATGATTGTTCTTTTAAATAAATAAATATCTTCCTTTGATATTTGATGAACTCAACATAGCCAAAAGATAAATGGAAAAAATCAAGGTATTCAAGTAACCATAAAAAAATACTATTTTTTATTAGTAAAAATTTGTTAAAAATTCAATTTACGAAGAAAAAAATAGATGGCTTTTAAGTTCCTTTATTTTCTAGAACAATTTAACACTGCTTGATAAAAGTAATTCAATTTGAAAACTCAGAATCAATTGGCAAAATTTTTTCACTGGGAAATCTGATAGTTTAAATCCATTTTTGAAATCAGAGTCATTCACGTTTGAAGTCAGAGTCAATCAGAGTCATACGAAAGTAACGGAATATTTGTGCTCGGGGTGGGTTTTTTTTTCTTCAGACAAATTTCGACTTTTTAACTAGCCATTTTTGACGGAATTGTTTTATATCATTCAAAAGGTATTAGTGTCCTGAGCTTAAATTTGAAAAGATATTTCACCTGTGATCATTTTTCGTAAAGTTATGAGGGTTTAAAGATTACCATTTTGACCAATTTGGGACAATTAATGCGCGATATAATTCGCGCTATTAACGCGTAAGCCGAGATTTAATACGTCTTATAAATCGTTCCAAATTGGTTGAACGAAGCTTACTTGCCATAATTGATTTGTTACTAGGAGCGAAATCTATTCTTTTGTACTTTATATGGCGTGTGGGGGGATGATTTTTATAAAAAAATTTCAAATTTTAGAAAAAAAAAATTTCGTTTTATTTTATTTCATTGAAGTTTTTTTATGTTTTTACTGCTGCTCCATAAACCTTAAAGGCAGTCGGAACATTCAGGGCTTCGCCCTGATACGAGCAGTCTTGTTTCATTTTCTCACAGATCTTACGTATTACTTTGGCTGAATGCGTGATGTTAGGATGAAAGGCATGCAGAACAAATGTTCACAATAGTAGGTTTGTTCATAATGCAAAAACTCATTACGTTTTGACAACTTAAAACTTTTTTTCAAAATTGAAATTCAAATGTAGGACGTGGGGAAAAGAGCCCGTTCATCCACTGAGGATTAAAGTATCTGATGACTAAAATATGATAAGCTGAATTCGTTCATTGACACCCAACTTTTCACCAAATCTAAATCATGATATATTTTGCATCAAAAAATCGTTAACCTGTGAGAAATAACATGTTGTGAGCTATGGGTAGTTACTATCCAGTCTTACTGTTTGGAAACTAACTCAATATTCATCGAAAGAAAATTCCGAACAGAAAAAATGAAAGTTCTATTAAATATGGGAATTATACTTTCTGTTCGGAATTGATTCCCATATTTCATAGAACTTTCATAGTGTTTGTAGTTGTATGGCAACGTTCCTAGGGGTTGAATTTAGTGATTAGCATTTTCGTCAACGTGGGATGCTTGCTCATCACAATCGCAACAATAAATTAGTAATAAATGCTTCTTAAAACAATAGAAAAATTACGCTAAGAGAGCGAGCCAGCAAATGGTTCTCAACAGTAAGGGAGACTGATTCAGTGACTTGAAAGAACAGTCGATTCTCCCGAGTGAAACAAGTCATAAGAAGTTAGTTGAGTCTCCGGAGAGAGAGCAAGTTAGTTAAGCTAACGTAGACAGCAGCGGTATCGCAAGTCATCAAGCAATTACAATTTCAGTTTACAGGCAGAACCTAAGGAGTGACACAGAGGCGAAGCTGCACATCGCAAACACAAGCTAAAAAAACGCCAAGAAGCATCTTTAAAAAAGTCAAAAACGGTAATGATAAACAATGACCTCTACGGTTATTGAACCTCAGTCCTCGGATTTTCAAGTTTTTTCTTTGATTGCCCTACTGACGAATATAAAAGCTTAAATTGAGCAACAAAGGTAGCTTCAAAGTGCACAAACAAAATTTTTGCATGTAATATTTGGAATGTAATAAACTAAAAGCGAACACACTAAATTTCATTGCAATAAAATGGAGTACAAAACCAAAGTTCTAAAAAGGAGCTTACATGATTGTTCTTTTAAATAAATAAATATCTTCCTTTGATATTTGATGAACTCAACATAGCCAAAAGATAAATGGAAAAAATCAAGGTATTCAAGTAACCATAAAAAATACTATTTTTTATTAGTAAAAATTTGTTAAACATTCAATTTACGAAGAAAAAAATAGATGGCTTTTAAGTTCCTTTATTTTCTAGAACAATTTAACACTGCTTGATAAAAGTAATTCAATTTGAAAACTCAGAATCAATTGGCAAAATTTTTTCACTGGGAAATCTGATAGTTTAAATCCATTTTTGAAATCAGAGTCATTCACGTTTGTCGTGAATTTTAAACTTTTGCTGTTCGATAGTGGAGTTTGCCTTCCTTCTAACAAAAGAAATAAACTGAACTTGAAAAGAAAAAAATCAAAACTCAAACTTTTCCTGAAAAAAAAATCACGACCTATATAAGAGTCTGAATTACGTTCATCGACTCTCAAAAATGCATCAACTGTGTTGAATTATTAGTAATCAAATTTCAAACCATGCTATTGAACAGCCAACTCAACCTCCTCAGTAAAAGTGCCACCAAAAGTAGCACTAATATTTGCGACTTAGGTTGAAAAAAGGTAGCCTTATAGTATCATCACACTATGCTTAGTTGTGTAATAATATTGATAGTGACAGAAGAATTGCAGAGGCAATCGCGTTAAGCTGATCGCAGACCCATTTGATTTTTTGAACTGATGAACTATATTCTGGCCCAGTTATATGCTTTTTTGAATGTGTGCGATTACTTGAATTCAATTACTATTAACTAAGTTGTTGCTATTCTCAGTGAGAGAAAAAAGTCGACAGAGCACAAAAAGGGGCACTCAACATATTTAAAAACAAAAAACTTGCAACCAAATTAATATTGAGTTGAAATAAGTCTCAGACGCTCAGCCGAACTCAGTACTAGCACTCTATTTGGCGTACCCAGTAAAAAAAATTCACTCAGACGGTTTGATCTCCGCATTTGTCAATTAGTGTTAGCAACTGGGGTCTATTTTTCAATCTAGTGTTTATCTAGTGATGGATAGAGCAGTGACATTGGCTAACCTTTGGTGATGTAAAGGTAGAAGAAATCGCAGTAGAGAACAGTCTGGACACATCCGGCTACGATGGCGATGAGGTCGAAGAAGCCCTCGTTGTAGTACCGGTACACCCAGTTGAAGATGTACAGTGCCCGGTACATACCCAGGGCGAACAGGTAGTGGGAAGTGATGGACTCTGCCTCGCCCGTCTTGCTGATCATGAACAGCTGGGGGAGAATGGCCACCGACTCCAGGTAAATCGAGAAAGTCCACAGGATCTGAAACAATCATATAATAACTTCAAAAACAACACCGATAGTAAGAGATTGCACAAATTGTACACCGATAATAAAAGATTCCTGTCAAATGCACTACGACTGCGGTTGTAATTTTTGTTTCACGCAAAGCAAAATCAGGTACCACAAACTATCTTCCCTAATATTCACGGCTTTTCACATGTGACTTGATTGATATTTAACAATTTTTCATAGTGCCAAAAATAAGTCTCAATAAGTCTCAAAATAAGTCTCAGCGGGTGAATAATGGTGCTTGCAAATATAGCGCGTGTCCAAATCAAACCCTTAACCTCACGAACTGAACCTTCATCTAACCCACCCCTGAAAAACCGAAGAATATATTTCATTTGTATACATACATCTCAAAAAATGTCAAGATATAGGCTTATCGATTAATAAAAAAGGCTTACCTCAAGGAGAGAGAAGTCATGATTAACGAGAACGGCCAGACCGGCGACGGGAACGACGAGGAACTCCGGTCGGAAGGTGTCATGATTGGAGTCATAGGTGGCCTTGAACTTGAAGTAGATCAAATACACCGTAGCCGCACTGGCGAATATGTAGAACACCTTCATGCACGTATTGTAGGCCGAGATGAAGGTTGTGAACAAATCCAAGTACCTGGTGACGAACACCAGTAGGAACAACACCTGACTCTTCCCGGACAGACCTGGAGAACAAATCAAATTTGGCCATGTTTTCTTAAAAAACAAAGCAAGCCACGAGCTATTATAAACAACAGCACCTTCTGTTTCATTTATATTGATTAATGATTTAAGTTCTTATAGGGGCAAATGACAGTTTATTTAAAGTACAATCAGTAAATATGGGTGCAATCAGAAAAGCACCTCAATATGAAACAAATAAAACTCTTCAGGAGCTTTTAAAAAAGCATGCAAACGGATTATGACAACTTCTTTCAGATAAAATGACAGAAGTGGTTAAAATGTATTTAAAGACAGACGAAGCGTATCTTAGCACCACTTGTCAAAAAAATTAATTTAATTGTTCCGAAAAAATTATGACAATGAAAGCATAGCCGACAGAGTCGGAAAAGTGTCAATGAACGCAAGGAAAAAAGAAAATTACTGACTTTTAGAGCTCACCAAGTTTCGTTTCTTTTACGCTTGAAGCGTTTTTAATCAAACTAAACGACTAGGAGAAAACTGCATTATAAGGTATGCCATTTAATAAGCTGAGAAATCCAAAAACTAAAATAAACTTTTAAACAAAGTTTCATTGAAGTTTTTTTCGCACCATAAGACCTTTTTTTTAAAAAAAAAAGGTAAATTATAAAAGAGGCCCTTCCGTTTAGGTACGGTCGTGCACAAGCTGGATAGGGCCCATACCAGCATTATATAAATACATCAATAAAAAATTTTGCAGGATTTAAGACCTGTCAGCATTCAATACGTTGTCATTAAAGGTATTTACTTCAGCCGTCCCTCCTCTATAACAGCACTAATTGAACTTTCTATGAATGGGGTCTTACGCAGTGATCTGCACCCCCGTATACAAAGGATAGCGCTCCTGAGCAGCGCGAAGCTTATCTTAGTTCTTACATAGTTTATTGTTTCTGAGTAGCTTTCGTGCCTTTTTTCATAAAGTTTTTCAGCTATGCGCTACATTGTCCGTGTAGTTGCTGGTGCGGTACCTTAAGTGCAGCCAAAACTGAGCCGGCAGAAGCTGCTCTGTTCGCCTTGCAGCACTCTGTTGGTATTTTGAGTTTTTTTAGTAATTCGTGGTACTTATAGGCGTCTTTCAGTTATCTTCGTGAAGTTTTTGCGTGCAGGTTGAAGACTTTGACCCCCATAGTTGATCCCCATAATCCATTTGCTTTTACATTTAGTCGACCGTCTTTATCAGTTTTGGTTGAATTTTTGACAAAGCTCTCGCCTTGCAACGACTGAAGTTTCGGCTCAAGTTCAACATCATAGCAAACCTCGCTCATGAGGTTGGCAACGGTATCTCTCATTTTGTCAAGCCTCCTTAGGGTGCATCCACCCTTCGCACAGTGAAGGGCGTGGGTAAGTTCGAAAGATTGACTACATGCTCATGTGAGTGGAATGTTGGTTGGTTCCCATCCATATCTGAGACGAATTCTATCCCATATCTGGGATTCGGATTTAATTGGGTTGAAATTATATCAGCTAAGAGGCAGTGCGTTTATTGTTTGAGGCTCCTTTTTTGGAGGCTAGCTCAAATGCGTATTTTTCACTGTCAGTAAGTTGTTCAAAATGTTAGTTATCTTTTGGTTTGTTCTTTCAGTTTTAAGTGTTTTAATTTTTGTATAGATTTTTTCTTGCTCAGATTTAGCTGTTAATGGGTCGTATTTGTCTAAGACTGACGATGTTTTGAATGACCATTCTAAAAAAAGCTCATAGTCAGAAGGTAGCTTGATATTCAGATCACCCATTTTCAGTGGCAAAGAAGCGAAGTTGGTGGCTAATATTATCTTTACCAATTAAATTTGGAATGAGATTTTCCTGCAGTATTTTCTCGCAAGCCTGCATGTTTTCTGTGGTATTGGGAGTAGTTCTAGCTAAAAACGATAATTTTCCTTGTACCTTTTTGGTGTAACATGAGTATACGTTTTGTGGTGATGTTTTCGCGATCTTGCCAAGTTTTTTCAGTATTTTGTTATGTTCTTCTAACTGAGTTTCTAAGAAAGTTTTACATTCAGTCTCGGATCCTATGACAGAACCAAGTACTCTGGTCCCTTTCTTGATTTCAATTTCGATATTTGTGAATGTTTTTATCGCCTCATTGTATTTTTCATCTTTTACTATGAGCTGGTATTTCGATGCCTTTACATGATATCCAAAATATTTTCCGTGTTTGATAATTTGTCTGGAACTGTTCGCAGGCTTTTCAAATTTCCGACTGCGTTCCCATCGTCTGTATACCATTTCCGAGTTAAGCTGTTATCGTTGACTAGTTTAATTTAAGGTAAAGTAGCTTGCCCATACATCGCCATTGCTAAAGGGTCTCCTTGTGTGGTTCCTTCTCTAGACATTTGACCTTTTGTTTTTGTAGAGCGTAAAATGCCTTCCATTCAATTGATTAATATTTAAAAAATGAAGTTGAAAAATTAAAAACACCGCGAAAACTTAGATTTGCCCATGAAAAACTGACTTCTTTAGAATTAACGTTAGACTTCGTTGAATCAAACTAAGTGTCTTGTAGGACCAATTTCCACGGTCAAGCCAGAAAATCCAGGCAAGCATAGTAAATGATGAGCTTACCGGCACAAGATCTTGATTTCCATATCTTCCAGAGTAGTAAACATATGGCCAGCAAGTGAGACAGATCTCCGCACAGTCGAAACACATTCATTTCTGGAAAACACAAACTACATGAGCAGCTGTTTTTGAGATTCTTTGACTGCAGTGAATATACTAAACGATGATCGTTAGTCAAAAAGTAAATTCTGGCTACAAAAATAATTTACCTTGAAAAGAATCAAAATCTTGATTAGAATAAGGCTCGAATACAAATTAAATAGAATCTGAGTTTACAAAGCGACGCACTATTTTAAGTCCATACATCTTCTTTAACTCTTTTAGGCTCCGATCGAAGTCTCACCATGACTGATCTCGCTTCTATATTTGAAAGTCCCTGCGATTCCTCAATGACTGAAATCAAGGCTTCATTCACATCCTTTGCCATATTTAGAGCATCACCGCAAATGTATACTTCCGCATTCTTTTCAAACAAAAGGCCACCGAACTTTTTAGCGTCTGCTCTCAAGGTATCTTGAACGTACTTGAATTTCGAGTTTTCTTCGCGCGAAAAGCAGCACAGTAATTCTGTCAAAAAGCCATCTTTTTCAAATTGTTTTAATTCATCTTTGAACAGGAAATCATTCGATTCTGTTCGGCAGCCAAATAGTAGATGAACCGATCCAAAAACTATTGATGAATCTTTCTTCTTCAACTGTCGACGATGCCTCAGAAACCCTACAAAGGGAGCAACGCCTGTTCCGGGTCCAATTAGAATCAACGGTATTCTAGGATCATCTGGCATTCTAAAACTAGTATTACTCCTGAGGAACGCCGGTATCCGAATTTCGCGTATCTCATGATTCACATCTTCCATGTGTTTTTCAAACCAACCTGTAGCTACTCCCTTGCGAGCCAACCTCGTTTCATCTTCGGGTATGTTTACAACATTAAACACAAACGAGAACTTTCCGTCATCGTCAAGTGGCGAAGATGCAAAAGAATAAGGCCTCGGTAGTAGAATCGGCAAATTCTCAAGCAATCTCTCAACAGGAGGATCACATGACGGAAACATGTTTAGAACATCTAACAATGTCAACATTTTTTCCCGCAGTTGATTGTATTCTTCTGCGCCTTGTCTAGAGCTGATTCTTAAAAGCTGCTTGAACTCATCGTCATTGAAACAATAACCCGCAAGAAGCCGGAAAAACACTTTTTTGAAAGGCATTGATGCTATGTCTACACAATTTGAAAAAATGTAGCGAAGAGTAGAAATCCTAGGTATAAAATTACAGGACGAGTCCGACTTGGAACTGCCCGTTAAGACACTTCTTTCTACAGGCACATCGGCCAAATGAGCTACTTTGAGTCTGTTCAAAAGGAGGTTGACTATACTTGAATCGTTCGGTAAGACAGTCGAGAATGAATCACCAGGCTGGTAGTCGAACGTTCCTTCAACTTCAATCAAAAGAGAAGTTTTAGATGACACATCACCCGAAAGTCTTGTTATTTTTGATAACTTCAAATATTTTATTTCGGATGCCATGCCAAAATAGACGTTATCGCCTTGAGGCTGTGAAGGCAAGTGGTAAAACTTCAAGGCTAAAGAAGTTTTAGCTTTGGCAGGAAGTTTCAAATCATTTGGAATTACGAAAGCGTTCTCATTTTTTGAAGGCCGCGTTTCTCCGCAGCTATAAGAGAAGGACTGGTCGAATAGTGAAAGAATTGCGTCTTCGGTATTACGTGTCTCGCTAATTTTGACCCTCTCAACTCCACTAACAAAGCCATTTTGTTCGTTTTCAGCTTTATGAGAACTTACATAATCCCAAATTTTTGTAGTAAAACGCTCAACGTCATCTTCTTGGCCAGTAGCATCATCGGCCAAAATTGTATCAAAAATATGAGTTGCTCCTTTAGACAAAAGTAGAGCGTCTACAGCTTTGCCACCTCCGCAAAAATTAGTGTAGTTCGTATCGCCCAGTGCAAGCATACCAAACTTCAACTTTGAAAGGCAGCCATTAGGCTCTTTTCTTAGTTTCCGAAAAAATTTCAGACAGCTGTCTGGTATGTCTCCATCTCCAGTTGTAGACATTACAACAAAGGCAACATCAATTTCACACAGGCTCTGTAAACTGTCGAAGCAAGCAACCTTACAAGAAATCTCTTTTTCAATCGCCACAGAATAGATCCCATCGGCAATAGATTTCGCCTGCCCTGTTTGAGAACCAAACAACAGGTGCATTTATCTGAAAACAATTTAAACCCAAGTGCAACCACTTATCGGGTAAAAAAGCTGATAAAAGCAGATTGAGTGATGCATTTTGAAAAAGGGATTCAATTTGTGTGCCAGTCGGTCATATTTGGAAGTTTGACCTTGAGAAATACGACTAACGTAATTTTTGGGTGAAATGTAATTTTTCAAAAATTCGAATTGAGCCTGTCACGCTCAACTTTCTCGCGACAACTGAAAATCTCAAAAATGCAAGATCAGAACCACCGAATTACAATCGGGGTAAAGTAGTTGAAAAAGGCAGCGGGAAATTGCTATTCGCAGTTTCCAGATATAAAACACACGAGAGTAGAGCTGTCCTATCCTGAAATAGGATACAGAACGATTGCGAAAGAAGAATACATTTATTCGAAGTGGACCAGAGTGAACCTTCGGTGGAAAGGTAGAATCGAAGTCTCCCAATGGTCCAACCAAAAATTTTAATTCTCAAAATAAAACTCATTTCCTTTGTTGGAATTTAGTAAATGACGGGACTCATAAACCCTTGGGTAGCATGACTTCCCAGAAGCCTCAACAACTACTACTACTAATAGCAAACTTCTGTAACATTCGCCCAAATACTACAAAGCGACGGAGCGTAGAAAAAGTACCTATTAACGACTGGACGGCGTCAGTTACCTAAATTCTACTCATTTTTCACCGTCTAGACCTAGCCAGTTGAGTTTCTGGTCTGTTTAGGGCTAAGTAGAAAGTTACTATTTTCAGGCCATCAGTCAAACGACTTTTAATCAGCTTCCGTTTACATGCGAAGACAAACACAAAGCTGCGTTTTGGATCCCCAGACTACATGATTGCTATTAAAAACACGGCTCGAATACCCTATTTTAATATGTTTTTGGTGACAGTTCTATGTTAAACCCATTGGAGATGGATTGACCCTTTCCTCTTCTTAGCTACTCAAATAATACCGGTGTCAATTCAAAGTTCTATGGCATCAGAGTAGCTAAAAAGTTAGTTTACTACAGTCTTTCACCATATAACAGTCTCTGGGGGACCAAGCCTCGGCTTCCATGTTCTCCTCGACACAACGCTGTTATCACTCTAAATTCGTGGCACGGGAGGGTACTGCTTTCCACCACCGAAGCCTCCTTTCCCACAATCTTCTCTCACTAAGGGTCTTGTCGATAAGAGGCTTCGTATTTTTCTCGTTCTCGTGTGACTCTTTTTCACTAGATTTTCTGTTGTTCTGTTTTCTCGTTCTTATTAGTCTTTTTGTATTTCTGAGAAATATTCACTCATCGATCGAAATTTTAAAAAGAAACATTTTAGAATATTCCTACCCTCCATCGCAGCACTTTTTCGTTACTAAGGCCTTTAGTCATCTTTTTCTGTCCCGGCGGAAGGTTGCGCTGTTGTGCCAGTCGGTCATATTCGGAGGTTTGACCTTGAGAGAAGCAAAAAACACTTGAATTTGGAGTGAAATTTAATTTTTCAAAATTTCGAATGGAACCTGTCATGCACGATTTTCTCGCGATAACTGAAAATCAGAAAAGAGAAGTCAGAACGATCGAGTGACAATCGCGGGAAAGTTGCTAGAAAAATCAGTGGGAAATTGCTATTCGCAATTTCCATCATAGTGAACAAGAGTAGAGCTGTCCCATCAAAAACAGAGACGAGCGCATTCCCACGAACTGGATTGTTGCGATTGGAATACTATTATTAACTGGACCAGAGTGAACCTTCGGTGGAAAGGTGGACAGCTAGAGTGTCCCAATGGTTCATGAGAACTTACAGTCTAGAGTAAAAACTTGTTCTTGTTGTTAAAACTGACTAACATTAAACTCATTTTAGTTACTTTATTGATTCTTGAGTTGTTTACCGACTTATTTACTTCCTGGTTCTTGAGCGTGCTACAATGTGAGTACTAATTTAAATTTCTAGAGTGTGTTTTATAATTGTTATGTTGAGGTAAGGCGAGTTTTAGGTTGATCCATCTGAAATGGATCAAAGTTCCACTGTCTAATAAAAAGTAACTTAACGGATTGTTCCAACCCGGTTTTTAACGGCGTTCATGTATTTTGGGTATCTAGAGACCTAAGTATGGGGACGTTTCTAATTCTAGAGTGGGGGGATATTTTAGTAGTAGCCTTTAAGCTGTAACGGGTCGTAGTCTCATGTCACAAACGAACCGAACTGGCTCCGACCGTTCTTGAGGTAGAAAAACACAAGAGATGGTGTCCCTGACCCTTGAGCCAGTGGTTATAGGGCCTATTTTTCTTAAGCCTCATGTGTGACTGCAGTAGACGAATGTTACATAGTGTTTTTATGGCGCTCCTGGGTGTTTAGGCATCAAGACTACGGAGTCGAACCCACTTGAGACAGCTTCGGGCTGAATGCCCATTCTAGAGTACCGGCGGTACGGTTCGACAGGAACGTGCAAACCTTCCGGTTGTACCGTGATAGCTTTTTAAGAAAACTCAAGAAAACTTCCTGGTACGCTCTCCGAACGAGGCTTAGCTAACCGAGTAAAGGGGGGCAACTAGGGGGACAAAAACACGAGCAAAAAGACAAAAAGCGAAACAAAAACCATAAAACGAAAAAAGAGAGTGACTTTGACACCAGATTAGTTGGATCAAACCTTTATATTAATTAAATAGTATACCCATACTGTTTTACAAGTTCGATCGTTTCGATCAACCTAGTAATTTAACCCAGTAACCTCAATTAAGAGCCCGAGTGTGGGGCGTTGTCAAGGGTTTTTAGATAGCTTGGAACTTAGCTGGACAACAAGGAGACTTGACTGGAAGAGGTGACCAGCCGAGTGGGAAAGTGGTTCAGGAGCACTTGAGCTGAACCAATAGGAGACTTGACTGGAAGAGGTGACCAGCCGAGTGGGAAAGTGGTTCAGGAGCACTTGAGCTGAACCAATAGGAGACTGGACTGGAACAGGTGACCAGTCGAGTGGGAAAGCAGCCAAGAAGGATTTGGCAATTCTCGAGTTCTCAAGTTGGGCAGAACGGGTATCGTTAAAATCCACATTACATTATAGGAGATAAGTGTAAAATAGGATAAGCGACATCCCCCGGTTTTGAGGAACGTTTTTACTTGAGCAGGCCTGGAGACAGGTCTACGGTTTTCTCTTGAGAGCTTTAGCACCCGGCGCTTAAGGTAATTTTAGGCTTAAGAAGGGGGGCTAAAAAGGGGGGAGGTTAGAAGGGGGGCTGGTTAAGTTAGAGGTTGGCGGTTGCAAATTGTAAAGAGGGGGAAATTAGAGTAACTAACTAGTCGACATCGTTGACTTAGTTACATTAGACATTAACACGCGTTGGTAATATTAGGTGGATATCGAAATTTGAACTCGAGTTAAGGAAGGTACCCTGTTCGGATTGGTAGGGGGGAAGGGACATAGACAGTTTTTGTAATACCCCATAAGATCGCTAGCAGGGGGGAAGGAAACGCGTGGCAATTAGGTACCAGACATTTTTTTCGATAGAAGGTAGACATTTGTCACCTTTGAATTTTAGGTGGGCTCATTTTTCTGTTTTTATTACTTTTTCTTGCTTAGATTTTTGTTGCATTTTGGTGAGGATTTGTGTTAAAATTTTGTACGAACAGGTGATCACAAGATACCTGCGCACAGGTTTTGGTCTCAAGTTACTTGGAACATTGAAATAGAGGTAGCCAAAAAGAGAAATAAGAAAAAGGGGGGTCAGCATTTGGCTTTTAAGAGAGGATTTTGGGAAAATTTTACTAGAGCTTGAGTGGTGGTACAAGGTACAGTGAATCAAGAAGTCCCCATAACGAAGAGGAAAGAAGTCCCACCACCCAGACACTTGTCAACAGTCTTGGGACAGTGCCGAAGAAGTCTTAGGACAGAGCAGTCTGGGGACAGTCTTGGGACAGTACAGTCTTGGGACAGTGGTCTTGGGACAGGGTCTTGGGACAGGGTCTTGGGACAAGGGTCTTGGGACAGGGTTTCGGGACAAGGTCTTGGGACAAGGTCTTGGGACAAGGGTCTTGGGACAGGGTCTTGGGACAGGGTCTTGGGACAAGGTCTTGGGACAGGGTCTTGGGACAAGGTCTTGGGACAGGGTCTTGGGACAAGGTCTTGGGACAAGGGTCTTGGGACAGGGTCTTGGGACAGGGTCTTGGGACAGGGTCTTGGGACAGGGTCTTGGGACGAGGGTCTTGGGACAGGGTCTTGGGACAGGGGTCTTGGGACAGGGGTCTTGGGACAGTAGTCTTGGGACAGTAGTCTTAGGACACTAGTCTTGGGACACTAGTCTTGGGACAGTAGTCTTGGGACACTAGCCTTGGGACACTAGTCTTGGGACAGTAGTCTTGGGACAGTAGTCTTGGGACACTAGTCTTGGGACAGTAGTCTTGGGACACTAGTCTTGGGACACTAGTCTTGGGACAGTAGTCTTGGGACACTAGCCTTGGGACAGTAGTCTTGGACAAGAGTCTTGGGACACTGCCGGAAAGTACTGGGACGGTACCGAACAGTCTTGGGCAGGAGAAAGAAGCCTGGGACGGTACAAAGAAGAGTAGGGACGGCAATTGGAAGTCTTGGGACAGTATAAAAATTGAAGTAAAATTACAAGAAGTGTTTTAAGACAGAATTAAGGTAGAACAAGACTAATTGGAACCAGGTACGGTTGAGACCACAAATAAGGAAAGTTTCTCGAAAAGTTAATAAAGAGAACTGAAACAAGGTTTTCACCACGTTGTATATATTTTTTTTTTTAAATTTTTTTTCCCTCTCGAAAGATTTTATTCTTAGAATAGGATTGTGTATATAGTAAAATTGTAAATAAGAGCAATTGTAAATAGAAATAATGAGGCGGAGCAGGGTACCGGTAGCTGAAAAAAGACCTACCGAAGCAAAGTATAATTCGTCGCTACGCAAAACAACATCAATGGGTCCGAAGATAACAAAGAAGAGCTTTTCAGTTAATATGGTCAGCACAAGGAGTACAACGGAGAGAGCAAGAGAGGGCATGGAAGGGGAACGAGTAGAACCCACCATCGAGATTGATCTAGAGACACCTGATCAAAGTGTTGATGAAACAAGGAAAATAGCGACGGAGTCAACTCCAATGCCCAATGCAGAAGAACCAAA